GGGTTGGTGAAGATCGTTTCCCATTCTGTAAGGAGCTGTTTTATCTTGTTGACCATTTCCTTTGCCTTATAGAACCTTCTCAGTTTCAGGAGGTCCCATTTATGAATTGTTGCTCTCAGTGTCTGTGCTTCTGGTGTTATATTTAGGAAGTGGTCTCCTGTGCCAATGCATTCAAGGCAATTTCCAACTTTCTCTTCTATGAGGTTCAGTGTGACTGGATTTAGGTTGAGGTCTTTGATCTATTTGGACTTGAGTTTTGTGCATGGGATAGATATGGATCTTTTTGCATTCTTCTACATGCTGGAATCCAGTTATGCCCACACCATTTGTTGAAGATGCTCTCTTTTTTCCATTGTATAATTTTAGCTTCTTTGCCAAAAAATCAGGTGTTTGTAGGTGTGACCACAGCAACTCTTACAAAGGGAAACATTTAATTGAGGTGGCAGCTTATAGTTCAGAGGTTCAGTCCATTATCATCACGGTGGGGGGGGGCAATAGTGGCATTCAGGTAGACATGCTGCTGGCTACGCCTTTATCAGAAGATAAGAGAAATTGGTCTGAGTGTCACACTGAGGGAAGCTTGAGCAAAAGAAACCTTAAAGCCTGCCCCCATAGTGACATGCTTCCTCCAACAAGAAGGACACACTTCCTAATTGTGCCCCTCTTTTGAGCTTATGGGGGCCAGTTACATTCAAACTACCACAAATAGAAATCCTGGAATAGCAGCCTGACATGATGATTTGGGGATTTCTTTGGGGCTTACAGCCAGGAGGCAGCATGGAGTCAGGGTTAAAGAACTGGGTAGAGGATGAAGGAAGCAACATGTTTGAGGGTTTTACAGGTGAAGAAGCAGATGCCAGTGGGAGGCTGGAATCTTGAGATGCTGTGAGGTGGAGTCTATGGAATAGCAACAACGATGCTATTAATAATAATAATAAAGGCATGGTGGGAAGGAGGGGAAGACTGAAAAATCTTTCCAGATTTTCTTAAAAGAGAGGAGGTGATGCATATTGTCCTTTAGAGAGGTCAGTGAGGTGGGTATGTCACAAATATGTATGCACTGATGTCCTAGGGCTCAGTGGAAAATGTTAGGGAAAAGCTCAACTTTGATTTGGACCATGAGGGAGGTTGTGGCTACAAGCCCTGGTACCCACCCAACCAATCACAGTGACGTATGAAAGGGTAGAAGCTAGAATTCAATGAAAATGAATGCACAACACACCCAAACTTATGAGACACAATGAAAGTAGCGCTAAAAGGAAAGTTCATAGCACTAAGTGCCTACACAAAGAAACTCAAGACATCTCATACTGGCAACTTAACAGTACACCTGAAAGCTCTACAACAAAAAGAAGCAAAGTCATCCAAGAAGAGTAGAGGTCAGGACACAATCTAACTGAGGCTGAAATCAATAAAATAGAAATAAAGAGACCAATGCAAATCAATGAAACAAGGAGTTGGTTCTTTGAAAAAAATCAACAAGAATGGCAAACCTTTATCCAAACTAACTAAACATCAGAGAGAGAATATCCAAATTAACATAATCAAAAATAAAAAGGGAACCATAACCACAAACACCAAGGAAATCCAAAGAATCATGAGGTCATACTTTAAAAAACTATACAAAATTGAAAAAAATCTACAAGAAATCGATAAGTTAAATCAAGATCAGACAATTAAAAACAGACCTCTAGCCCCTAAAGAAACAGAAGCAGTCATTAAAAGTCTCCCAACAAACAACAACAACTATTAATAATAATGATAATAGGAAGAAGAAGAAGAAGAAGAAGAAGAAGAAGAAGAAGAAGAAGAAGAAGAAGAAGGAGGAAGAAGAAGGAAGAAGAAGAAGATAATAGGAAGAAGAAGAAGAAGAAGAAGAAGAAGAAGGAAGAAGAAGAAGAAGAAGAAGAAGAGGAGCAGCTCAGGGCCAGAGAGCTTTTTAGCACAGAATTCTACCAGAATTTCAAAGAAGAGCTAATGTTAATCCTCCTCAAATCATCCCACAAAATAGAAACAGAAAGAAATTGCCATTTTTTTAATGAAGCCACAGTCTCCCTAATATCAAATAGAATTACAGACCAATTTCCCTCATGAACATAGAAGCAAAAATATTCAATAAAATACTTACAAACTGAATCCAATAATGCATCAAGAAGATCATCCACCATGATCAAGTAGGTTTCATCCCAGAGATTTTTATTCAACATACAAAATTCAGTCAGTGTAATCCACCATATATTATAAACCAAACCACATGATCATCTCATTGGATGCTGAAAAAGCCTTTGACAAAATCCAACACCCACTTAATGATGAAAGTCTTGGAGATAACAGGGATACAAGGGACATACCTAAATACAATAAGGCAATTTACAGCAAACCAATAGCAACATCAAATTAAATGGAGAAAAACTGGAAGAAATTCCATTAAAATCAGGAACAAGACAAGGCTGTCCACTCTCTCCATTTCTAGTTAATGTAGTAATTGAAGATCTAGAGGAAGACAACTGAAGGAGATCAAGGGAATACAAATTGGAAAGGAAAAAGTCAAAGTATTATTTGCAGATGATATGATAGTATGCATAAGTAACTCCAAAAGTTCTACCAGGGAACTCCTACAGCTGATAAACACCTTTAGTGAGGTGGTTGGATATAAGATTAACTAAAAAAAAATCTGTAGCCCCCCCTATACACTAATGGCAAATGGACTAAGAAAGAAATCAGGGAAACAATACCCTTCACAATAGCCACAAATAATTGTTGTGGAATAATACTTTTGTACATCGTGAATATGGGTCACTTGGATTGGTTTAATAAAAAGCTGAATGTCCAACAGCTAGGCAGGATTTTTGGGACAGAGAGAACAATGGGAAGAAGATGGGGGGAGGGGAGTCACCAGCCAGACAGAGAGGAAGCAGCATGGGCAATACAGAGTAAATGTAATAAAGCCATGAGACACAAAGTAGATAGATAAAATGGTTAATTTAATTTGTAAGAGCTAGTTAGTAACAAGCCTAAGCTATTGGCTGAGGTTTCTTAATTAATAAGAAGTCTCTGAATGGTTATTTGGGAGCTTATTGGCAGATCAGAAAAAGCCCAATTACAAATAATATAAAATATCTTGGGGGTAACTATAACCAAGCAGTCTTATATGACAAATATTCAAGTCACTGAAGAAAGAAATTGAAGAAAATATCAGAAGATGGAAAGATTTCCCATGCTCATGAATTGGTAGGATTAACATAGTAAAACTGGCTTTCTTACTAAAAGCAATATACAGATTCAATGAAATCCCCACCAAAATTCCAACACAATTTTTTACAGAACTTGTCTATACACCTATGGACACTTGATTTTTTTATATAAAGAAGTCACAAATACACAATGGGGAAAAAAAGAAAGCATCTTCAACAAATGGTCCTGGCATAACTGGATTCCAGCATGTAGAAGAATGCAAATTGATTCAGATCTATCACCCTGCATTAAACTCAAGTCCAAGTGGATCAAAGACCTCAACATAAATCCAGATACAGTGAACCTAACAGAAGAGAAATAGGGGAATAACCTTAAAACTCATTGGCACAGATGACAACTTCCTGAACAGAACATTGATTGTGCAGGCACTAAGAACAGCAATCAATAAATGGGACCTCAAGAAACTGAGACAACTCTGTAAGGCAAAAGACACCATCAATAGGGTAAAACAGTGGCCTACACAATGGGGAAAGGTTTTCACTGCCCCCAGAAGGCTAATATCTAAACTATATTTAAAAAACTCAAGAAACTAGACATCAACTAACCAAATAATCCAATTAAAAATTGGGGTACAGATCTAAACAGAAAAATTTCAACAGAGGAATCTCAAATGTCTGGGAAACAGTTGAAGAAATGTTTAACATCCTTAGCCATCAGAGAAATGCAAATCAAAACTATTTTGAGATTCCATCTTTGTAAATGGAGTTCTTAATTGGTCTAGATAATAAAACCTAGAATCAGATAAAGGGAAAATGCTGAGCGATCATAGAGAAAGAGCAAGCCCACTCCTGTCTGTCTGTGTACAGACCTCCAGACCTCTGTGCTTAGCTAGTGGCAAACTCCATTTCCCTTCTTCTGTAATGCAATATTAATTACTTCTGCTCAGAGCTGTGCCGCTTCGTATGTCTATCTTCATCCAGCATGCGATGGGAGGCAAATTAGGAGATGGACTGGTATACTTTTTTTTTTTTTTATTTCCTATGAGGTATAAACAGTCCAACATTTCCCTCGAGATTCACAACATTCTTGCCAATGGTTTTCCCAACTTGTGACCCAAAGACAGTATCAGAATCCTCCTGATTCTGGTGCCGGTGACTGACTGGGGCCAGCTTCAGACTTTGTGAACCACAGTTCTTGGGTATGGTCCTGGACTGTGTTTCCCATAAGCACCCCAGGTAATGCCGATGAAGTCTGAAGTTGTGAATGTCTGTTTTAAAAGGAGAGTAGAAACAAGAACTAGGGTGGAAAGAATGCCCTAAATTCAACATTTAATGAGCACCTGACGCTGGCAGAATGTCAGCACCAGACAGTACGTGATCGGTGCCTCCACAGAAACCATAACAGACAGCAATACACTTACAGTTAGTGTTTTCCACAACAACCAGTAAGGCGGGCCCATCTGCCCTACACAGCCAGGTCAAGCCAAGGCTCTGTCTCAACACTTTTGGTTTCAGTGTTTTCCTAGAAATCGTTTTAGAGAAATTCCTACATTCTCTCAGTTTCAGGAGAGTTGTTTTAGGAGCTAGAACACTCTAATGAGTAGTCTCAGGTCGGTAATTCCAAATCCCACAAACTACTTCCTTGGAATCCCGGTTCAACCTTCGAGGTACGGAACTCCATTTCCCAGAAGGCCGCGCAGCATTCGATCACGCGAGCCTTCCGGGAAAATGGCCGGTTTTTTCACGCCTGCCGTAAAGGCGCGTGGTATTCTGGGACTTGTAGTCTGGCCAGCCCTTGGACGCCCCCTCAGATGAATGGGGCCGGGGATGAGTGAGAACTACAGAGCCTTGGTGGCAGCCGCGGAAGGATAGTGGACTGAGACAGCCCTCGGGCAACGAACCGCGGGCGGCGGTGATGTTCAGTGAGGGCTTCCCAGGGTAGCGATCGGGAAGGGTGCTCTGCGCGCTCGCACCCCGTGCCCTGCACCGGCCATGCGCCCGGCCTTCGCGGTGGGCCTGGTGTTCGCAGGCTGCTGCAGTAATGTGATCTTCCTAGAGCTGCTGGCCCGGTGAGTGACCCTCGCGGGCCGCGCCCGGGCCCCCGGGGCTGCCGGTCCCGGGCCGCTCGCCTTTTCCACCTCCCCACTCCTGCCCCGGGTACCGGGTACCCGCGCTGCCCGCTACTCCGCAGCCCCGGTACTGCTCCATCTCTTAGCATCCAAGTGACAGGGACGCCCAGGGTGCTGCTGCCGTCACCTCGATGCCAGTCTCCGGGAATCTGAAGCTCGGAGACTTTCTCCACTCCGCTGAACCAAGGTCTCCAGGAGCTGGTGGCAGAGCCGGTGCCTCCGCCAAGCCCCCCTCTCCCTGCAGCTCATCCAACTCGAGCACTTTCCTCCATCCAGTTAGAGAGTGACACGTGCCCGCCTGTCCGGAGCAGAGCCTTCTCGCGTGCAAAGCCGTCCGGTTTTGTACGTGTTGCAAAGAAAGTTTGGTTTGTGTGTCCTGACATGCCCTGCAAAGGATGGTGGTAGAGATGACTGTGAGGACTTTACCCAAACTCAGGCGTGAGTGATGAGGAGGAGCAGATGACTAACTACTGCGTAGCCGCCCTGGTCCCTGGGCATTTAGCATATTACAGTCTTTAATTGCGAAGCGTGCACTTGGAAGTAAAGCTGGAGAATGACTGTGGCATGTTCCCAAAGGGAACAGGGTTGGCTCTGTGGTGGTTTCTTACAAATAATGTTGGGTAATAAATGTGCAAAGTTCAGTGGGCAGAAGTTAGAGAAGACAGGAGGTGGAATGGAAAACGCTTAGGACTGAACAGCTCAAGTTAGTAATTTCAGGTTTGGCTCCATTCATTATCCTCTGGAAATACAACCTTTTCCAGTTCCTTAACCTCTCTGGGCCCCCCTTTCCAGACAGTTCAATAACATCTCAGTACAGTAGTAACTACAGGTTTCTAAATCTATACACTGTGTCCATTGACTCTCTGAAAGGCCCGGTGCTTCAAGAGTTACATTGTTTGGCTTAGAGTGAAACAGATGCAAAGTTGGGCGGCCTTTTCACTGCTTGTAAGGGGCAGAGCAAGAAATGGCGTCTAAGATGGCCCTAGCCCAATGCCATGCCCAGTTCCCTTTCATTTTTTAATTTGTGTGGTCTGGTAGAAATGTATTTTATTTGATGCTGTTGGTTTAAGTACTTTGGAAGTAAGCAGTTCACTTATGGTCAACTCTGTGTGGGTTAATTTTTGAAGTTTTGTTACTCAGAGTGTTGATGAAGATTGTTTGTCTTGGGAGTGGTAAGGAATATGAAAATGAAAAAAGAAGTTGCTGGCTGTAAGCCTGATACACTTCAAAGGGCAGAGACTTTGTTTTGGTATATACTTAATATATTTTAAAATTAAAAGGTGATATGTTCAGGCCGGCTATAGAAACAAAGTCAGATAATTGTGTTGAATATGCCATTAAATTAAGTGAAGCCTGTGTGCACTAGCTTATGAACTCTTGGCTAAAGTACTTGGTTTCACCCTTCAAAGGGTGTGTGTATGTGTGTGTGAGCTCCTTCATCCCCATGGGTTCTGAAGGGTTGAGTGAGATGAAAGTGGACAGCCTGCTGCACACTGGAGGCTAGCTTCTCCTCTCTTACAGTTTTGTTTCAGTAAAGGCATACCTTGTTTTTTTTTTTGTTTTTTGGGTTTTTTGTTTGTTTGTTTTTTGGTGATGATCCAGAAAACTTATGGATAAATTTATCTTTATGAAGTTTTTTCATTCCTTATAGGAACTTTCATTTAGAATTTTATTAAGAATCAGAATCCCCTCCCCTTTTTTTTTTGTAAATCTGTATTTCAGTGTGCAATTGTGTGTTTCCCTGCGGTGGTAAGGAAGTGGGCTTATTAGTGCAATGCAATGTGTAGTACATTAATTAGACTGATGGCACCTTATTTCTGTCTGCTGAGGCATATGACACCTTCCCTTGGTAGAGCAGTAAAATTGGACCTGGTCAGACAAGAGGGTCTTTAAGGTTCCTTCTAGATAGGATCTTGACATCTGTAGCTTTAGTCTTGAGGAATTACCATAGGAAGCTCATTGTGGAGCAGAAAGTGTACTTTTTAAATGGCTTCTTGGAACCCTTAGATGTCATTCTAAATACAAAGGCTGAAATGGCTTGTTGAGGGAAGGGGGTGTTGAGCCATTTACCCCCAATTGGAAAACAAATTCAGGTTCTTCTTGCTGACTTTTGTAGACCTCTGATTGGGACCAGTGATAAAACACAAACCCTGGGCATTGAAGGAACAGTGGCTTAGCAGTAAGTGGGGTCTTAATTCCCCTCACAAGGTGCTTCTGGTCAACCTTCAAAACAGGATACACATATATGTTCCATGTATGTGCTGTATGTATATACACACAGAGAACTAATGAAGCAGACAAGACGTTGTGTGTCTTAACATCAGGATAACAATCTGACAGATTTTATTTTTCCCATTTAACTTTTCCATCAAGAACATGACATTGAACTAAATAAGGAAGCTCTATGTCCAGGAAAGAAAGAAACGATGTGTGAACCATCTGTCCGATTCATTCTTTTCAAAGTTGATTTGTGGGTTTTTTTTTTTTTAGGTTGAAATTTGGGGTTTTTGCCAAGAAAATCCCAAGTTAGAGAAGCTGTCTGCAGTTGATGGTTGTAAGTGTTAAGAAATAAAGAGAAGGAAAGATTTCAGGGAAAACATTTCAAATTTTTATTTGGAAGCTTTAAAGTGAATTATTCTAGTTCAAAGAACACCCCCATCCCCAGCTGTGTCAGCAGCAGGCTCCTAAAATGCTCTCTGCATTAGCTAAGAGTAACTTTGGTCGTAGGATCATGGGAGGCTTACACATGCTATGGAAAGACAAAAAAGTAGAACTATCAAAGGTCCTGATGGGAGAGAACAGGAAAGTGATTCCTCGTGGGACATCTTAAAATTACCTAAAATTAGATGTTGGTAATGGCTGGCTGATAATAGAAGTGGTGATATACAAACCCCTCTCATTTGCCATGAAGTCCATGTTCATGGAGTACCATGTTGACTTTAGTGATAAAATAAAGGGAAAATAGCAAAGATCATCTGAAGGATACCATTGTAAATTTGTAAAATCTTTTACGCAGATGCTAATATCCTAGAGTACATTTGCTTAAAGTGAGGCCTCCCCACCCTTACCAACATGCTTGAGTGAAGGCCAGACTCTGCGTCTCAAGAGTGGGAGTGCACAGATGAAAGGGACACGGACCACCTTCTGAGCATTTCACAATGAACTGTGTTCTTGCTGCCTGTAGTTCATGCTTGGTTCCCGTGGGCTTTTCCCTTCTCTGGAGGGCACAGATCCAGGTCATTCTCACCAGGAACTCCTTCCTGATCCTGTGCAGAGTGGCTTCTCAGTAGCCGCTCTGTAAGAGCTTTGGCCCAGGCTTTTAGTAGAGAGTGGAAGGGAAAGCCAGAGAAGTGCTGATCCTCCAGCATGGTGCTGGCCTCCTGATGCGTGTCTTCTCACTCAGTTCTCATGGCCACAATACGTAGTTTTCATTTTATAAAGAAAAAAAGTGTCCAGTGTGATTGTTTAGAAGGAAAACTATTGGGCTGAGGAGACACCTCACTGGTTAAAGTGCCTGTTGTAGAAGAGTTAAGAGCAGAGTTCAGATCCCCAGGACTTATATAAAATGCCTCTAATTCCAGCCTGTAGATCCTTGCCACACCTCAAGGCCACTGTGATCCTGGCAGCCCTGCTGCCCACAGGTCTGTCACTGTCCCTTAGGCTCAGATGCCTGGACTGTACACAAAGAGGCAGCAACAGGTGAACCCCAGAGCGAACTGGCTGTCTCTGTGAGCTCTGGCCTTGACTGGGGGAGCCTGCCTTAGTGAATGAGGTACAAGAGTCATTCAGGATGATTCTGGAAATCAACCTTGGCACCCCAGGCCTCCACATGTGCAGGTGCACACGTGCACCCCCACACATGTAAACATCCACATGCACACATGTGCAACACATTCATGCACACATGTGCACATAGATGGATGCACACACACACACACACACACACACACACACACACAAAGGGAGGCAGGGGAAGGACAGCTATCGCTAGACTGAAGACCTCACAGTGCGTAGGAGCCTGGGCTAGCCGTCACCCTGGTTCTGGTTGCCTTGCCGTCATGTGGCAGCACTGTGTTGGATGCTTTTCTGGGACCTGTTCATTTACACAGCAATGAACCAGTGAGATAAGCACTCACAGTTCCCATTTTAAAGAAAAGTGGATTTAGAAATCGATTAGCGTCCATACCACACCATGAGTGACAAAGGTGCTCTTGCATGTCAGTGGAAAACAGTGTGGAGCGTCATTCTCAGCCACATGAGCACACACACAGAAGGAACACACTCTTGCATGCAGGAGCACAGGCACGCCCCTTTCCCACTAGGATGGAATGGGGGTGGGGGGGCTTTGAGGGCATAGATTCCCAGGGCCCCAACCCAAGACAGTGAGATGAGTGATGGGAAGGTGAACCTCTCCAGGAACACAGCTTCTTTGTTCATTCATTCATTCATTCATTCATTCATTCATTCGTTCACTCACAGTACTGGAGGTTGAACTCAGTGCTTTCTGCACACTAAGCAAGTAGTCTGTAATGCCACTAAGCTATGTCCCTAGCTACTCTACCTTTTTTCCCCCTTCCTGTTTTGAGACAAAGTCTCACTAAATACTGCCTCACCCACTCAATGCTAGGCTTGCGTGCCCGCACTGCCATGCCCAGCCTGACCCCTGGGTTCCTGAAGACCAGCCAGGACAGAGTTGAATAGCTCTGTGCTGGGAACCATATAGAGTTAAAAGTTCTGGGCTCTTGTATTGACTAGTGGTTCTAATTAGATTTTTGAATGAGATGAATGTCTTACATAATTGTTTATGGATTCCTACAAAGCTTAGCCTTGTCTCTTGAACCCAAGAAAGACAGATTGTTGAACTGCATCTAGAACAGTAGGTTCCAAGGAGCCTTAATGGGGCAGCCGAGCTTAAGTGTGGCACTGTGTCTGTTTGAGGTGGCGAGCTTCGCGCTTTAGGAGTGCTGTGTTCCTTAGCTATTTCTATGCACGAGGGGGGTATTTCAAGATTTGCACTGGGGGTATACAGCTCAGTGGTAGAGTGCTTGCCAGTTTTGTGTGTCAATGGGACACACACTAGAGTCATCAGAGAGGAGGGAGCCTCAATTGAGAAATGCCTCTATAAGATCAGGCTAGGCAAGTCTCTGTAGGGCATTTCTTAATTAGTGATTGGTGGGCGAGGGCCCTGCCCATTTGTGGGTGGTGCCTCCTCTTCAGCTATAGAAGAGAACTGTCAACCTTTCACAGGACTAATTTTCGGAATGGCTCAAGAGGGATGTCAGAAATAACCTTTGTACTACAGCATGTGTTCCTAATAGTCACCTTGTAAGGCTCCTGGCCCTTCCCTAGAGCACTGATGAGAATCTGTCGAATTCCAGGAATATCTCTTGACTGACTGATGTATTGAAGAGCCGCAATAAGGGTTGTGGAGAGCCGCTGAGTGCCACAGCAGTGTTTCTCAGTCATTCTTAGGTTACTGTTCCAGCCCCAGACCCCATTTTGACAGTTTTTCTTAATCACCCTTGCATATACACAATCATGTTGATTTGTATACAGATATGTATCAGGGCCTATTAAAATGGCAAACCTCCTCTCCATCCCCTGAACTATTTATAAATCTTTGGTGACACTGTCTAAAGTCACACCCCTGTCATCATATGACCAGTAACTCCTGGCTAGTAGAAACAGATGAACATTCCAGGAGAATTCCTGCATGTTTCTGTCTTTGACTAGAGACCTTTACCATGGGGGAATGTATGTGAGCTTACTAGGAAATTTCCTGCCGCTTACTGGGAAAGCCATCTCATGTATTCTAGCAATGAGAGGGATTCTCATGCAGGGTCTGCTACTCTAGGGAACCATGACACAGTAGAGTTGGGCATTCCCTGTGACGCACAGTGTCAGAGTGTGTGATCCATGGCATAGAGCCAAGATGAGGAAGGACAGTGGCTGCAGAAATCTGTCCTCTATTATTTTGGTGTCATAAATATAACAGGTTGTAGTGCGCTTTATCTGAGTCTGTGCCTTGTGTTTTTCTTCTCTGCTCTTCACTATACAGGAAGCACCCAGGATGTGGGAACATCGTGACATTTGCACAGTTCTTATTTATTGCTGTGGAAGGCTTCCTTTTCGAAGCTGACTTGGGAAGGAAGCCACCTGCTATCCCACTAAGGTATGACACATTGAGGTCTTGTTGAGTCCTTTAAAACCTAAAAACTGGTGCCTTGGACAAAAAGTGTGAGGCACGTGTTTCTCAAGTTTAGGTTATGGATAGCAGCGGAGTCATTAATTTTATGAATTATATTGTTATGCTCTGGAAACTATTTTTAGAATAAAATTCCTGCCTACAACATTTAAAGTAACTGATGGCAGTGGGTGCATGTGTGTATAATAGAGAGTCAGACGGGCTAAGGCAACCACAAATTTCTCATAGTTAGGTATCCGTCTTTTGTGTTGGCAGAGTTATTGATTATGCTAAGAATGCTATCATTAAGCATCCTGAAAAACAATTGGCTTTTGGAAATAAAAAATCAGTGAGTATATAGCATGGCAGACGACTAAATGCCACCAAATTGTTTGCTCACAAATGGTTAATTTTATGTTGTATGAGAATCTCACTTCAATTAAAAGAAAATTGATTGACAAGCTAAGAAAAAAAATGTTCTGTCCATCAGTCCAGGTTTGCCATAAGTATCTTCACACACAGGACCACATATGGCATTTCTCATGACGGAGAGACTTGAGATAGAAGTGTCCTCCCCTTGGCAAGGGTTTAAGTGGTGTCACTCAGTTTCTCTGGGAGTGGCATTCCATGTGAATGTCCCCCAGGTACTCAAGCTCATCCTTGTCAGGGTTCTTTTGCTGCCTTCTCTAGTTGAATGTTTTTCTCTGTCCTGCTGGTCCCCATGGACTGGTTTCTTTCCCGCTCTTGGAACCCCACAGCCACTTATGCAATAATCACTCAGAAGCGGCCGGGCATTGGTAGAGCACTCCTTTAATCCTAACACCTGGGAGGCAGAGGCAGGCGGATCTCTGTGAGTTCGAAGCCAGCCTAGTCTCCAGAGTGAGTTCCAGAACAGGCTCCAAAGCAATACAGAAAGACCCCATATGGAAAAATCAAGCAGATGTAACTTAGAAGTTGTGAGGAAGCCATCACTAGTGGTCTTGCATGCCTGTAGCACGGTTCTCTGTGTTAGTTGTCAAGTTCTTAAACAGTTAGTGCAGCCTTGGCTTTGCTTGACCATTGTAATGTCTGACCAGCTCCATATCTAACCAGCGACAAAAGAGAAGATACTGTGGGGATCGGTGTTGTTTTATTCTTTGGATATGTAGACACAAAACTGTTTGGAAATCCTTACCCAAGATCGAATATTTTATGAACAACACGGAACCATTGTTTACTTTTGCTCAAGATTGTCTAGGCATTTATTTAAAGTTTTTAAAAAATATTTTTAAGTAAATAATGAAATTGCTAATATTTAATCTTTTTTGACTTGCAAAAACATGACAAGAATATGGTTTACCTTAATATATATGAAAGACAACTTGGATATTTTTAGATCAAGATAAAAACATACAAATGTAAAAATTTTTAATCCACTTACTTATTCATAGTATAAATTTGCTTATCCTTAGCATCCATTTACTTATTCATTTACATGTCACTTTATCATGATTATAGGATTTTTTTTTTTAAGACAGAATCTCATTTTGCTTTAGATTGGTCTCGGACTTGATATGGAGCTGAGGATGGCCTTTAACTCCTGGTTCCTCTGTCTCTGCCTCATGGTTCTGGGATTATCAGTGTTGGCCAGCATGCCAACTTTATGTGGCACGGGGAATTTTAATTTTAATAATAATTAAAACTTCTCAAATGGCAAAGACTCTGGCTGGACATGGTGGCACCTGCCTTTAATCCCAGCACTCAGGAGGCAGAGTCAAAAAAAAAAAAAAAAAGGAAGGAAGACTCTGATTCTAAGTATAAGTCTATACAAATCAAAGAATATCCTCATTATTTTAGAGCCTTCTGATTGACTGTGTGGAGTAGTTTTCACAGTGGCTAGGCTGAACATGAGCTCGACTTAGCCACTTTTTGGAATCTGTTTTGTTTTGTTTTTTTTCAAAATTAAGAAAAATAATATTATGTAAATATATACAGGACACATTTAAGGTAATTAACCATTTTCAGATTCTCCAGAGGCCTGTGAAAAGTATCTACAAAGAGCTAATAGATTAAAAAAGGATTATCTGTCCACTTAAAATCTGTTAGTATGGATTAGGCAATGTCTGTAAAGCCTAGAAAGTCTGTTGAAAAATATTCAAGTGTTTCCTTAAACACATTCAGTAATTCAGACTTTCCTCATGCTAGTCTGACTCGGTGAAGTATTCGTATATGTCGTGAGTATTTGACTCTATGCGATAATGGTTCTCTATACTCTCTTAACAGAGAGCAAGGAAGCCAAGTGTCTTTTAAACCAAATATATGTATTTTCTCTATGTCAACATTCCTCGGGAAATGGGCTGGTGTGATGCTGTTCTCCACCATTGCAGGTACTATGCCATCATGGTAACCATGTTCTTTACCGTCAGCGTGATGAACAACTATGCTCTGAATCTGAACATCGCCATGCCCCTACATATGATATTCAGATCCGTAAGTGCCAGCCGCATGCGCATCCTGTGAACAGCATGGTGAAGAGGGAGGAGGTAGACAGTCTTAGGGAAGTCAAGTCTAGGACATACGAATAGGTTTGCATTGAGTCTTTCAACAGGATTGCTTTCATCTGCAGCTTAAGGCGGAAAAGGAGACCTGGGAAAGTGGGAAGTGAATGGCTTATTTTTATTTATCTCAGGTCTAATATATGGCTAATAAAATTTAAATTTCTCTGGGAAATAGATTTGTTTCCAACTCCGTTCATCTGGCTGATTTTGAGTTCATACTGACTGCTGAAGCTTTTCTTACCCTCGGCCCACCTTGCCATGCTCTGCTTTGTAGCTCAGGCTGATTGGAACTCTCCGGCCTCTGCCTCAGCCTCCTGAGTGCTGGGTTTATGGGCTTGTCCGGTCACACCTGGCAGGACCATTGTTGATGAAGGGGGTTTCTCTCAATGTGACTACCCATTTTCTTCATTACTGGGAAATGAGCTCCTTCTGTCGTTGGTGTATAAATAAGAGCAGAGTGTTCCCAGAAGAGTGGGGAAGACATCAAGGGACGTGTAGGCGGAGTTGCAGCATGCTGCAAACTGGGTGGTGATAGGAATGACATTATCTTGTTGCCTGAGATTTTTGAGAGATTAAGTGTCCTATTCCTACAGGGACTTGCATAAGATAATCGTAATTATCGGGGTGACCTTCAAAGCGAGGCCACATAGCACTTCCATAAACTCTTGTTTGTTGATTGATACCTGCTAGAGAAGAGGGAGTTCCCTGCATGACTTCCTTCATTAAGAACAGAGGTAGCAAAAAGCTCAGTAGAAGTTTTATACACTAAACGATGGGAAATTTAATGGAAGTAGGTCCAAAGTATCATCTAGCCCTATTAGTGAGAACAGATCATTCCCCCATTGTATCTTGCAGATTTTAGTATTTTTCACAACAGATTTTTTTGGCCTCTACTCTTTTTCTTAGTGACTTCCATCCTTCCTGTGTTTCCCTTGTCTTCTTTTACAGGGCTCTCTGATTGCCAACATGATCCTAGGAATTATCATTTTGAAGAAAAGGTAACAGCACACCTTCCTGTTTTGTATGTGAAGCGGTATTTTCAGGTGATCACCTCTGAGGACTGATCACCTTTCTTTCCTCACAGTGCCGAAAGGCTGCTCTTGCTCACCGGCCTTTTCCTGAATTCTTTCTCACAGATTCATGGGTAGTGATGACTTTCCTAAGGCAGCTGACCAGGCTGGAGGCTCTCCTTGTGGCTTCTTGTGGGACCAAACAGCTCTTGCTACCACTGGATCTTTAGGGCCTTGTCAGCCCATAAAAGCAGTTGACACAGAATTCACTGTGCAGTGTGGTCACCGTTAGCCACATGTGAACTTACATTTCCTAAGTGAAACCAAACAAAATATTTCCTCACTTTTGCTAGTCACATTTTAAACACTGTAGTCACATGTGCCTGATGGTGACCATATTGGAGAATGCAGATATGGAGCATTTCCGGGGAGTGGGTCAGTTGTCCTAGAAAGTGCTTTGTTAGTTGTTTTGTTTTTATCCTTTACATTCCTGGGGCTAGATCACAGAGCCTCACACATGCTGCAAGCGTTCTTATTAACCTGTGTATTGAGCACACACAAGGTGCTCATCAGTGCACTGTAATGAACCGGGGAATAACTTTATATGTTAAGAGAATTTCTGGTAAAGGTCCAGATAGACATGAAGAAGGAGCAGAAGGCTCGGGGTTTTTCTTTGTAACTGCTACCAGCAGTGTGGTAGGATTGCAGTGAGAAATGGTAGGAGCAGCTGGGATGCTTCTTCACAGAAACCGCCTGTCTCTTGAGCCTTGCCCTTACTTGTCAAGGAGAAAGGGACATTAGGGAGAATCAGTAGGGAGTCTACAAGATTTCTCAGGAGAGCCTGGCGGTGGTGGTGCACTCCTTTAATCCCAGCACTCGGGAAGCAGAGGCAGGCGGATCTCTGTGAGTTCGAGGCCAGCCTGGTCTCCAGAGTGAGTGCCAGGATAGGCTCCAAAGCTACACAGAGAAACCTTGTCTCAAAAAAACAAAACAAAACAAAAAAAACAAAAGATTTCTCAGGGGAAGGTCATCTTCATTGTTAAAACCAACATTGTGTAAGTGATGCCATGTTTTCAGTGGTCCAGTTCCTGGTCTCAGTATAAAGGCTCTCTCAGCTTGAGAAGAATCTGCCAATTCAGAAAGGAAACCTAAAGGGGATGGGTTTTGGTTTTGAGATTATTTTTCGAGATAGAGACTGATTATAGCCCTGGCTGGCCTGGAACTAAATATGTAGACCAGGCTAGCCTTGAACCCACAGAGATTCGTCTGTCTCTGCCTCTTGAGTGCTGGGATTAAAGGCCTGTAGAACCATAGTGCTTGACTAGGACCTACAGTTTTTAAGTACTAAAGGCTGTATCAAAACAAGGACAACTGTGCTACCTTGCTAGGCTCCTTGTCATGTGTCCTTTCTCTCTGGAGGCCTTGGAGCCCCAGGCAAGTACTGCTGCCTGTGAGCTCCTCAGCCCTCTCTGCCTTTGTGCAGACATTTAAATGGCCAGATGTTTTGTTTAAGATAAAGACTGTACTTGATAGCTAGACTGCACCTTGGAGACCTGGGTTCCTTCCTAAGCTTTGATTTGGTTCATAAGAAGATACTATATGTAAGTAATATATATTTACATAAAAGCATTATATTCTCCTGATACAATCTCACACTGTCAGGGGTTCTTCTCAACACCTGTTTCCCTGAAGAGTTGACTTGGAATCTGTTGTCTTGGGTCTGAGCCTTTGACTATCAACAGCACAGGAATTTCTCTAACTTGTCTACATTAATTCATTCTACCCTCATCCCTCCCTCCATGGTGTCAGCAATCAAACTCAGGGCCTTGCTCATGCTAGGAAAATGCCCTGCCAAGTTCTGATCCAAGTTTACCTTCTTATTTTTCTTGAACAGTCCTTTGGAGAATTTAAAGACCACATCTATATTTTTCTTAACCATTATTTTGGCTTAATTTTTAAACTCCTTCAACTTGATGTTTCTAGACTGAACTTTTGCTATGTAAGGTTTTGTTAGTGTCTATTAACTATATACAGTTAACTGTATGCCTTATGATAACTTCATGCACAAATACATACATACATACATACATACATACATACATACATACAAAATGTATTTTGATTATATTCATCCCCAAGCCCCCTTGTCCTTCTCCCACTCCTGCTGAGCCCTTCTTCTCCCTAGCCAATCCCTCCTCCACTCCAGTACCCCACTTCTCTGTAGTGGGGCTCTCCTGCAGACTTCTCTCAGCACCTCAGCCAGTCAGATCAGCTCTGATGAGGTATTGTCACCAGAAGATACAGTGTCCTTGGGTAGAAAAGAAATGATGATTCATTCTGCAAGTTTAATTTCGTTTCATCCTTCCTGGGGCCTTTTCCTTGATTACCAAGACTCTGAGGGGGATCATAATGATACCATTTTAGTTAATGGGAAATGTCACCATTATGCTGCCCTTGGCTCTACAAATTGCAAATTCCTCCCTTTATCCAACTGTGCTGACATTTTACAAAAATCATTTAAGTTATTCAGATTGTTTTTAAAGAAATACCTTCCCTGGAGAATGGACATTATTCCCCAAGTTTTGACTCTTGTCATTTGTACCTGAAAATCTGTTGTTCCTTGTCTCTTGTGGGGTGTGTGTGTGTGTGTGTGTGTGTGTGTGTGTGTGTGTGTGTGTGTGTTAAGACATAATTCTGGGCTCTTAGTATTGGAAAAGCCACAGGTACAGGTGAAGACTGAGCAGGCTGCATTGGCTTCTGGAGAGCAGAATACAGTGTCATGTGACATCTGGTGTGTGTCTGTTTTCTGGTTTTGTTTACTTTTTCAATTTCTGATAAAACAGCCTACTGGCCAACACTATGGTGATACTGTAGAGGTTTATGTTTGAATCACATACTACCCGACTGTAAATCCCATTAGATGTTATCCCTTTTCCTAAGGCGTTCTTGTCCTTGTTTTTCAGATACAGTATGTTCAAGTATACCTCCATTGCCCTGGTGTCTGCAGGGATATTTATTTGCACTTTCATGTCAGCAAAGCAGGTGGTAAGAGTCATTTGTATTCACTACTTGTCATCGGGCCCCTTACCAGGTATCTATTAATAAAGGAATTAGAGTGCTTACATAATACAGGAACTAAACTCTGAAAGAGGTGCAGAAGGAAGTGGAAAGCATAAATATCCCCCTGCATCTCAGATGTTGTTTGCCATTCTGGCCTCTGTACCTAGTATATTTTCTTATTTCCTAGACTTCCCAGTCCAGCTTGAATGAGAAGGATGGATTCCAGGCATTTGCACGGTGGTTACTGGGCAAGTACAGCAGTTACAAAAAGCTAATTACCTCTGCACTTTTGTTTGCTGAGTTTTCTCCGGTGGGACATGTTTCTTGGCAAGATGTTTAGGCTAAACAAATTATGCCAAGGAGGAGAGTGGCACCTGGGACCAATATGTCTCTGAATCTCAGTGTTCAAAAAGTTAAAAGGCCAGTGTTCACTTTTTTGGGGTTTTTTTGTTGTTGTTGTTGTTTTGTTTTTGTTTTTTGTTTTTTTTTTTTTGGCATCGTGTTCTACGTGGGTCCACGTTTCCCATGGTTATCACTGGCATAGAGAGGTCTGTTACTCTCTTCAGGAGTACTGTATAGGGAGTCTTCTGTTTCCTAGTGGCCAGTCCACTGAGTAGAAGTACCTGCAAAAAAAAGGGTGACTTAGAACTCTTGACTCTCAGTTTCCCAGGGACACAGGGGCTTTTTTCTTCTTAACTTAACTGTGTTCCATGTGACAGTGTTCCCAAATCAACTCTCCTGAGAATTTTTAAAAATACAAGTATCTCTGTGTGGAATTAATTAGACAACTCCTACAGGGCCTCATCCTCACTTGAGTTTGGAGGGGAAATGTTTGCCGTAGTAACAGGAGTGGAGTCACACTGATTGGGTGGAAGAAAATAGCAGCAAAGCCTGTGTATCTTGGCTTTGGACTTTAACCCTTTAGCTGCTGTTCTTCATAGAAAAGCTCTCTGCACTACAGGGAAAATGCTTACCCAATAGGAAAATTCTCAAAGATATGAACGTACAATTTATAGCAAAAATTCATGTCCAGTAATCTACCCTTGTAAGCTAATAATTACCCTAGTAATCAAAGAAAACCAAACTTTTCATTTGTGACTTACCATATGGGCAAGATGGTAAATGACTGTCACTGCCAGGAGTGTACAGTAACAGCCATTTTCATAAAAGCCGTTAGTAGACAGAGTATAATCGATTGCCTTTTTCAAAAAACATTGTGTATTGAGTTTTTTAAAGGTCTTAACGGTTTTTTTTTTTAAACATTTGACTCAGCAGTTCCATTTATGAAAAATTATCCTAAGGAAATAACTAACATTTTAAGTATTTCCGTGTATTGATTTCAGAGAAATAACTGGAAACCTAACTGGTCTCATTGCAAGACATTTAACTGTGTTGCAACTACGTGATAGGGTGACGTGTGGGCCCTAAGTCACACTTTCCAAACCCATGGAAGAGAGAAGCCAGGTGTAAAGGGTGTGGACACTCTTACTCCATCTTGGTAGACAGAAACATGCGTAAGGGTGTGGAAATGGGAAGCTAGAGAGGGTTTCATGGTAGCATTGTGGTTTTGAAATTTGCATGTCCTAGTGTGGCAGTTACAGAACTATAGATAGTACTGTCACCTTAAGAAAGTAGACCAAAAGGCACCTTGTAACCTGATCCTGATTTTTAGGCATTGGAGCACTGACCTTTGCCCTGCTGATGTCAGCAAGGATGGGCATATTCCAAGAGACTCTATACAAACAGTTTGGGAAACATTCCAAGGAGGCATTATTTTATAATGTAAGTAACTTTTTGAACCCTGGGAAGGTGAAAATTTCTGATTTATGATGTGTTATGCAGAATGAAGTCCTACCATAACTGACAGATTGTATTTTCGTTAGTAACCAGCCCAGAGACCAGTGCACTGAGGTACTTTAGGCAGGGGACAATGTGTATTTTGAGTTAATCATCTGAGATGATCATGATCTACCAAATAAAACATTTAAGGAACAAGGAGCCAAGGCCTGCAGAGTCCCTGTAGGTAAAATTGTTAAAATTAATATGGAAATCCAGAAAGAGACAATGAGTTCCAAGGCAGGAAGTCAGGAGTGTGATGTCAATGGGGGGTGGGGATTCAGGGCCTGAGTTCCCCAGAGGGGCTGTGCTCACATGATTGTTCAGTTCAATGCATGCACTTGCCAAGCTTCTTCGCTTTAAGGGGTGACCTAGCACCCTCTCCTGTAGCTTCCCTCTACCCCTCCTTCATTGCTATTGAAATATGTCCAGAGAACCCCCCTGTCCCAGGCCAGGGCAAGAGAGAGAGTTCCCTCTCTGTACAATTAATCTGAACAGGCAGTTTTACACATTCACGCGGAGCTAGAGTTTGTGGCTAGGGATTTTTAAAAAGTAAGCATTTTATTTGGCTTGTATCTTTCTTCTTTTCTTTTCTTTCTTTTTTAAAGATTTATTATGTATACAGTGTTCTGCCTGCATGTGTGCTTGTACACCAAAAGAGGGCTCTGGAAGAGCAGCCAGGTCTCTTAACCGCTGAGCCATCTCTCCAGCCCCTGGCTTGTATCTTTCATTGAGAACAATGCCAAGCATAGTGACAGCTCAGCAAGGGTCACGTGACGTGACCTCACATTGCAGTGCTGTAGTGAGGAGGGTGGTGGTTGTCAGGGACCTTTTGTGTCCTCTTCCTCTTCGGCCTCATCGCATCATTGGTTTTTCCCTGACCTCAGACTGCCTTCAAATCTCTTTTTGTACTAATTTCTGAATTCTTTGCCATCTGTGTGGTCCTTGTCATTTTCAAATCCAGTATGGAGCAAGTCTTTTGGGGCAGAATAACTGCTGAAGCCTCCCTTTCCCTTTGGGGGAAGGGAGGACCCTACTTCTTTGGTTTTCTCGTTGGTGACCATCAGACTCCATAAGATGTCACGCCATATGGTGTCAAGGGCACAAGGCACTGGTAATTTACCTTAGAGGGGCTAACTTGCTAATTGGACAGCCTCAAGTCATCGTAAAGCTGTTCTGTGTTGCTTTGTATTTACCTGTGTGTGATGTGTTTCTTCCCACAGCACGCCCTTCCACTCCCGGGTTTCATCTTCTTGGCTTCTGATATTTATGATCATGTTGTTCTGTTCAATAAGTCTGGTAAGTCTGGGGTCATGTGGCAGTATTACTTGCCAGTTTCTGCATTTGGCTCGACTACAGCTTTATCTCCTGTTCATCAGAACCTTTGCACCTTCCAGGTGTCCAGATGGATGGTGCTGTTAGTCAGTAGTCCCAGCAGCAAGGGCTTCTCTGTGCTCTTTCCTGCTCCCTGCAAATAAGAATATCCTCACCTCTCCTCGTTTCCTTTGGGATTGTGTGTTTGTATTTGAACATGGATTGTTACATGTTTTGAGAATGCAGACAAGCAGTACCAGCACTCAACTGGAACGGGAGCCCTTGAGGTTGGGTGGCAGCCGGCTGTCTCTGTGTCTGTCCTCTGCCATGAAAGGCAGAGCTGCTCAGAGATCTAGGCTGCCTTGGCACCAAGCAAGAGGAAGCAAAATGATGACAGGGCTTATTTCCCTAGCTACAGATTAAATAAACAAGATAAATTAATTACCAACAAAATGAAATTTAAAAAAAGAATATATGAAGGTAAGATGTTGCTTCTTCAAGTGCCTACTTGGTAAATTGATGACAGTCACCTTGAAAGATGTACAATCACTTGTACAATCTGATCATCCAGGAATGTTACACAGATAGGTGAACACGTACGAAAACCCTTTTGGGAGGGAGGGGGAACTGGGATTAGAATGTAAAAAAATAATAATAATAAAGAAAACCCTTTTTTAAATCAAAGGTTTATGTTGTTAACACCACAGGTAGTAAATCATTTTGTACTGTGTTGGGCCTGCTCTGCATGTGCAGCGTTGTGTCTGTCATTTGGCCTAAAATGTGTTACAGAAGTAGGTAGTATGGGAAAGAGTCCACAAGGCTCTGACTTCCAAAGCACCATTTCTCACTATTAATACCATAGTTGTGAAGATCTCGAAAGTCCCCACAGAGCTCTGACTCTTAGTGTAGACTGGAATCAAGGTGAATGAAGGCATGGACAGTGTTATTCTTTTGTTTAAGCTGCAGCTGCTGATATAAAGAAAGGAACAACGGATGAACAACCCACGTGGAGTTTATTTACCTGGAGGGAGAGGGGGATGGGTAGTCAGCCAACCCAAGAGGAGCCAAAAAGAAGAGAGAGAGGGATGGGTGGCAGGACCTTTTAAAGGGGATGTTGAGTATGTGCACTGGGGTTTTGCACCTCACAGGTTGCAATGCATGGCGGGTGAGTGCCCCGTTGTTAGGGGGCGGGGTCAGGGTCATCCAGGTGTATTGTTCTTACAGACAGGCCAACTATTTTTTTTTCCCCTAAGGGAAATACTGCCCTTGTTCTGTTACTGTTTTTGCATGTGTCACCTCATCAAAAGGTGAAAGGTTTAACTGTTGACACTGGCATGATGGTTTCCTCTCCTCACCTCTGCAGAACTCTATCAAGTTCCAGTCATCAGTGTGGCTATGCCCATCATGTGGTTCTACCTCCTCATGAACGTTGTGACTCAGTATCCTTTTGTGGGCTCCGTGTTGTCTTGGCAGAGGGATGTTCATTCTAACACTGTAGAGGGCATGTTTGGGTTTTGCCTTGACTTCTTCTATAGTGAGCTGGAGATGGGAGACCCATTCATGAAGCTCCTTTGTAGTCAGGAAAGAGGCTATAATGGTGCAGGCCAGGTAGGGCATGCAGGACTCCACAGATTGGTTTAGAGCTAGTCCTGTGATGAGAGGACGTGATCTGTGATTTCGACCCGGTTCCTGGTGTCCTAGGCTACTGTTTATTACTTCATGACTATTGTAAGTCACCGTAAAGTTCTGAAACAAGCTTCAAATTAAGACTCATTTAAAAGTAATTATTTTAATAGAAGGATCTTACCATTATAAAAGTTGTGATGTCTTTAAAATACTGAAATAGATTGAGGCTGACTGCCTCCTTCTGAAACCACCACATAGATTTGCTATGCAGAGTTCCACTTTGAAGGGGAGAATGGAGTGGCCCCAGGACAAGACAGAGTAAAGGTGAGTAGGATCACCTTGGTGACAGTGTCACTCCAGCATTGTAAACTAATGAAAATTCCTAACAATGGGTTCTTAGGAATGGCAGGGCTGGGATCTCTCAGGAAGTCCTCAGAGTGGATCTTCGTGTTTTCTCAGCATGTCAGGTTGAAGGCAGGAATGGCACCTAAAGCTTCCTCCCCAAGCGTTTACAGAGAACAGCCTTAACCGCTCCCCCAGATACGTGTGCATCCGTGGCGTGTTCATCCTCACAACAGAGTGCACCTCCCTCACCGTCACGCTGGTTGTGACTCTGCGCAAGTTTGTGAGCCTCATCTTTTCTATCTTGTACTTCCAGAACCCGTTCACTCTGTGGCACTGTCTGGGCACCTTGTTTGTCTTCATTGGGACCTTAATGTACACAGAGGTGTGGAAAAACCTAGGGACCACAAAAAGTCAGCTGCAAAAGGCTGACAAGAAGGACTGAGGTCTGCCTGGGACAGACAGAGCATTGTTACGTGATAGAGGCCTCTGGCGCAGGTATGGTCATCATTTCACTTTGGCTACTGCGAAATTACCACAGTATTGAACCCAACAGTCCCCAGAGCACCTCTGAAGAATGGGACTCATCTGCTCTTTCCTGGCCACCCAGACAGCCTTTGTAGACTCCGAGTAGGCATCCCTGAGATAGAATAAACACCGCAAGCAAGGCTACCAGGCAGACGATTGGCTAGCCTCTGCATTTGCTTTCCTATTTGTGTGCCAGAACATCAGAGCCACACTTGTGGAATTCCAGGTCCTCAGAGCTACTAGTTTTCTACCCATGCATGGTCTTCAGTAAGGCCATGCCCTTGTTGCTACTTACGATTTTTGTGTTGTGACGGCCATCACCCTTCTGTGGCTAAGTACCTCTATTCTCCTGTCACTCCTCACACTTCAGCACTTTGGGGTACATCCAATGTTCCAGGCACAATCAGGCACTGAATGACCCAGTGGACATGTGAGAAATTAGACCCCGGGGACAATGATGCTGAACTCCAGTGTGTTGGGAAAGAGGCAGAGCCCGATTCGGGAGCTGAGTGCAGGCGATGCTGGAGCAGGCACCGGCGTGGGGGGAGGGGAGACTCTCTGTCCCACATCTCACTTATTCTTTTAATCAGCGCAAGGATCACATGCTTCTTTCACCTGCCACTTTCTGGGCTTAGAGCAGTCCTGCAGCGCTCATGGCCCACTAGAAAGGAAGAAAGATCGAGAGTGGAGGGAGAAGAGGGAAGCCTCCGTCCGTCTCTCATGTGAAGCTTCTTAGCCTGTTACAGACATGGGGATGGAAGCGTGGCCCAGCACAGCTCACTCCACTGGCACCCTAAGAGACGGTTGCCCCTGTGAAGCCAGCCACATACTCATGTAGGTTTCAGATGTGCCCGGTAATCCTGGCGCTCTGAGAGCTGTCACCTGTCAGGTCACCGATGAGCCGATGGATATGTAGGTGTGAATGTGATGTACGAATCAGGTCAGATCCCACTACCACAGAGTGAGGTCTTATTTGCCCATAAATACCGGACTGTTCTTGGTGGGTGTGGGTATGAGGTTGCATGTGAGCCAAACATGTTTACATACAGAAACATGCCTCTTTCCTGCTGATGGTTCTGAAGGTCTGGTTTTCCTGTCATGGATAATCCTGAGAATGAGTAACCCTGTCAGATAGCACATGTGTGTGTTCTTGTATGTGCCCTCAGCTGGGAGTCCGTGTGTGATTGAAGAGAATGGACGTCCATGTTGTTTTAGTTCCTCCTTTTTCCACTTAGACCCTGACCCTCATTAACCTCACCTAGCTATCTGCTCCTCCACAAACAGCTAAACTCACTGTTTCTCTTGCATATAGACAAAGGCCTTTCATCCTTTTGCTCTGTGCAGACTGTGCTGTGAAACTGCGCGTGGCTCCCCACGTCTCCGAGGCCCACTTTAGTTCTTTATTCTGCTGTCTGAAGATACTCTTTGATGGGCTGAGCAGCAGCAGTAAAGAGAAGTGTCCTAATCCTCCAGGTCCCTGGGGAAGGCAGTTAAAGCTGCCTTGCTTTTTTGTTACATTAAATACAGGTACTGTTCCTCTACCTAAGTCCCCTCATTCTGGCCACTGACAGCTTCTCAAAGATGCTGAATGAGATGTGAACCCATTCACGGGCCCACAAGCCCCTTACCTGCTTTGAAATATGTGGGGTCGCTGGGACCAATGTTGCTGTAAACACCAAGTGTTAAATGCCCCCTTAAAAGGCTGGGATAAAAGCACTTTTTCCTTCCTGTTTAACAGAAGAGAAGAATCTGCCCCAGTGGCTCTTGAGGCTCTATTCTGATTACTCCTATCAGGAGAGAACCTTCAGCTACCCAGCGCTTCCCTGTCTATGCTGGGGAGAAGGACTACAGTTGGTAGATACCTGAGACCAGCTGATACAGACAAGATTTAGCTGGAGCCACCTGGGTTTCGGAATGTGTATCCCTCTTAATACGAATACTTTGCGAGTTTTATTAAGCGAGATGTAGGGACAAATAAGAGGTCAGAGCACTCACACCACAAAATGTGCACCAGCAGGAAGAGCACACGCAGGGCCCGGCCTGCTCCCTCCCACTCTAGTTAGAGAAGAAAATGCATTTAAGAGGTCCTGCTGACAATTTTGTAAAATCGCTTTCTAAAGTTTCTGTTTCGATTTCCGTTGTCCATCTTCACTGCACACGGTGCTGTGGTGGGGCGTGTTCATGCAGCTGAGCACATCCCCATACTTACTCCCCTCCTCTCTGCTGTCCTCCCCTTAGGCCCCTTTGTTCCTCTGGACAGTTTTGCTTCTCCCTTCAGATCACATAGACAGCCTGTTTTCGTGTCTTCACAAAGGAGGGAACAATATGATGTTTGTCTTTCCTGCGATAGCTTCATGTGCTTGCTAGGATTATCCCCAAACCCATCCATCAAATCCTTCTTTAAAAAAGTCACTCCTCTTGCCTGATTTTTTTTTTTTTCCCATGCGGATTGTAAACATTTTAAAAGGGCACATAAGCCATTTTATCAAGGGCGGGCCCACTGAATGTAGAGGAATGTCTGCTAAACACCTTCGTTCTTGCAGCTTCAGAAACAGCATATAGTTTGACTCAAAGTAGAGCCTAAGACACGTAAGAAAACACAAAACAAAACAAAACAAAAAACCGTACACTAGGGCAAGAATCAAATACAAAGGACACTGGCCAGGAAATGTACTGTTGCTGTGTGCACACGGAATAGCCCGACTGGTGTATCTGTTTAGGTGGCGGGAGAGGACTGTGGGTGCTTGGGTTATGTTTATTACCTGCGTGTCCTTTAACCAACGTTCTGTTGCAAACGCTACCTTTTCTTTTACTAGAAATGTAGTTTCAGTTTTTGAACTTTGTTCTTGCAGTGCCGAGGGTCAAACCCAGGGTCCCATACATAGTGTGGATCCTTTGATTTTATTTTCATCCAACTAAAACAGTCAATAACACACTAGATAAGCTTATAGTTCAGTACGTGGTGGGTTTGGTTTGTGTCTCCCTTTCCCTTCTTCCTTCCCAGTTGACCAAAAGCCAGCACTGCAGTTCCCTGCCAGGGTGGTCGGGGCCGCCTGTAGCTCCCTCTTCTGGTCTGGGAGGAGCACATGACATGTCTGAGGGTTCTCATTTCCCGTGCCCCTCTTCCTCCCTTCTGGGCTCGGGCTTTGGTTTTTGCACCTGTGTTCTTTCTGACTGTACCTCTTTTTCTTACTGCACCTGCATTCACTCGTGCTGTTTCCTACTGAGCAATACCTGTCGTTCTTGCTCTCAGTGACTGTTCTTTGGGGTTCTTGATATGTTTAGAAGTATGGTAACAGGGGAACGTTTGGCAGAGTGCTTAAAGGAGCGTGACCATGGAAGCTTTGTCCAAACTGTCTGCATATTCTTTTCCAGCTCAGCCCAGGAGCAAGAATCCATGCCTGTCACCTGTCCCTTCTTAATTGGTTCTTTTTAGCCTAGAGATGGGGAAAGGGAAATAAGAAGTCAGGGATAATTGCAAATCAGTGAATTAGCGGTGGGTGGCAGGACATGTTACCGGGGAACCAGTTTGAGTGAACCTGAGCAGATAAACACGTGTGCTCGGAGAAAACTACAACATTGTAAAGACCCGAAACTAAGATCCTCCCTGTGACTAGAAGTAGATAGAATTAGGAGGAATTCTGCCCATTTGGTCTCGGGGCTTTCTGCCGAAAGTGTGGACTGAATCTCGTCTGTGGCAGTTCACAATGATGGTGAGAGAACTGCCAGCATAGATGGAGTGTGATTATTGTTACTGTTAATTGGTGTGATGATTGGAAATAAGGATGAACAATATTTAAGGACATATTTAAGCCTTGGAATATATTTGCAATGGCCAGAGCTGGGGTGGGAGATTGATGCCTCTCAACTTTATGGTGCATTCTCTCTTTCTAGAAGTTTCCTTTCTGTAGACATTCCAGGAATGGAAGGGGTTGGGGAGCATACTTCATTTCCAAACTGCCAGCTCCTGGCATTGTGTCTGACATGTGTTACACGAGAAAATGAATGCTTGCCAAGGCCTCTTCCTCCCTCTTCATAATGGTTCCTTACAGCTATTCCCAATTCTCATTAGCTGGCTGGCAAGAAAGCCAAAATAGGGGAGATAGCCCAGTGACTCCAAATGAGAAAAGGAATGGACAGCAGTTATTGGAGATGGCTGTAGAATGCTACCCAGCTTTTAGCTACCTTGATGCCTGGGTAAGGTAGGAGCAAAGAGACTTGTGTGCACATTACCAGGTAAAATTGATGTTCAGGAAGAAGCTCACCAGGAGGTCATTAAGACTCCCAAGGGTCTTGAAGTGGCTGCCTGGTGAGCAGCACACTCCCACCTCACAGCCCCGTAAGTCAGGGTTGCCGACCGCTGCCTGGAGAGATGTGCGTATTTGTCTACACTGAGTATCACAGACATTTGCCCCGAGCTTTGCCTACAAAATTACCAGCAAGAGGCAAGCAGCAGAGGAATCAGAGACAGAAAAGGCCTGGTCTGCACCTGAACACCTAAGGCCCACATTTGAGGGGAAAACTGAAATGACCCCTTTGACAGAGTGTGCTATTTTACATCTTCTTTGGTGGCAGGGACACTGCTAATTCCCCAGCAGCACAGGAAAGCCTTTGTGCTTTGCTCACACTGTGAGCGTTTCCATGCTATTTGCCCACTTTCCAGAGAATGGCCTCAGCTTCCCAAAAAGGATGACTTGAAAAGTAACAAGTCATCGTGGTAAGGATTTTATTCATTCAGCCTCTGAGCCCTCCAATAAGTGTTACATTTTAAGAACAAAGATCAGAGAAGGAGGGCGCCCATAGCCGCCGTGTGTGCAGAACAGCCAGAAGACATTAGTGAGTATTCAGACTTTGAGCTGTGTAAATATCAGACACCACTCCCAGCCTTATGAGACATTTGAGCAGTTAAGGAGGAAAGGGAGGGCTCTTTGAATAAAACGGTTTGCCACATTGAATGTGTCATTTTACTGTCATTTCCTATAAAGCCATTTTTCACCTCTGAAAAACCTCATCAGACATCTGGTTTTTTATCTTGGATTTGCAATCATTGTTTCTTAATAAAAGTGATAAATCCCTGCAGGTGTGTCCAATCACCGTTGCCTTCAGGGGCTTGTGCGTGGTTTCAAGAGCTCTCTTGTTTTTACCTTGTGTGT